TATATAAAATGTTTTTGTTGATCAACTCCTCTTCCACCTACTCTCTTCTGCTATGAGAGTAGGATGACTCCTTTTTGAACATTAGTTTCTGATTCTATACCTTTTGTGTCATAGTCTTGTTGATTCTTTCTGCTCTCTCTCTCTCTCTCTCTCTCTCTCTCTCTCTCTTCATATTTTCACTTTTTCTTTGAAGGGAGTTTTGTTTTTTTTAGATCTTTATGATTGATGATTGATGGAACACTCAGATTGTGCAGGACTATAATCTACCGAATAGATCATGTTGGCTCTCAGACATAATCTTGATCTAAATTTGAGTTTGAGTGGTTGCTGGAATTCTGGTCACCATATCTTAAACTTGACCTATTAAACAGATCAGCGGAGTTAATATTGTAATGACATGAGCTCTTTGACTTCATCCACTGCAAAAAGAGAGATAGATCATGACAGGATCCAGTGAGGTAAGACCAAACCTAAGTTACAAGGTAGTAAAATCCCCATGTACTTATCATGTAGAGCAAACATAGGATTCCTTTCTAAGGACACCTCTGGATGGTCTGTCTGTAGGAGTCGTTGAAAAGCTCACAGTGCAATGTTTCAGAATCTCCAAAAACATAAAGAAACAGAGAGAGAGAGAGAGAGAGAGAGAGAGAGAGAGAGACGTGATGAGATTTGTACAAAATAAGGTTGTGGCAGACCCATCTTGTCATGGCTGGCCATTTTAATGTCTCAATCCAATCACCTGTGAGCAATATAAAAGGAGAAGATTTGACCAGTAGACTGTTGGTGTTCATCTCACAAGACAGATGACAGCAATTCTTGATGACACCACCTTTGGGAAACTTGATCTCCTCATTTCACAAGCCAAAAATGATCGGAAAACTGAAGGCACGGAAAGGAAATGTCGAAGTCTACTCAGTAAAGCTGAGAAGAAAAGATGCAATGACCTTTGTAGTCTGCACTCTGCACTCTCTTCAAGATCTATTCTTGGACTTCGATGCAATCCATCCTTGCCATGCTAAACTTTTTTAGATGCCCAGAAGCAATATATATATATTCTCTGACATGTGATAGAATTGAGCCACACACACACACACAGTACTGAAGTGGTGGTGGCAAGTTCAGATTCCCGGTGGATCTCTTTGAAGTCACTCCCACACTGCTTGTTTGGATAAACCAGCTGAGACAACCGAACCGCATACTCTTCTGCACTCTATTTGCACCGAGGACTTCTGAGGTCATCTGCCCAACACCTGGCCATTTCGGAAGAGCATCCAATGACTTGGAGACGGAGCCATTCACTGTTCCTGCTTTTGGTTTCTGGAGATTGAGCGGTGAGAAGAGACGACGAGAGGTAAATGTGTCCTGAGAAGTTATCACGCCAAAGCTTAGTGCTGAGCTACAGTTTGGGCAAATGTGTCATGAGAAGAGAAAAAAAAATCATTTTTTACATAGACAATGCATTGAAGTGTAACCCCAAAGCCTCTCTCTCTCTCTCTCTCTCTCTCGCTCACTCTCCTGTGTTGGCTTTCCTTTCTTTTTCTTTGATAAAGATTGTCTCTTTCCTCCCACGCGATCTCCACAATCTCGCCTTTTTGAGGTCGCTTTTCCTTTTCTTCAACCATTTCTCACTCTTTGCGTTCGTGGGTGTAAAAGACGAGAGCTTTCACGGGTGACGGAAAGGGCTGGAAGATGGGGAAGTATACGAGGAAAGCTAGGGTCACCGGCGAGGTCGCGGTCATGGAGGTCTCCCGCCACCAGTCCACGGACGGCGTCCGCACCCGCGCCCGGACCCTCGCCGCTGCCGCCGCCGCATCGGACTCCTCCCTCGCCTACCTTGAGCTCCGGAGCCGCCGCCTCGAGAAGCCCGCGCCTCTGGCTCCGACCTCCAAGCCTGGTAAGGACGCCTGCAAGGAGGCCCCCAAAGCGAGTGCCGAACCTGGGGTTAGCTCGACGGATTCGGGGTCGGTCGGGTCTGCCCGGACCAGGAGGTGTTCGGACAAGGATGAGGATGTCGCGGACACGACGGCGGTGGATGCGGCTCCGGACGTGGAGGTATCGTTCGGAGAGAACGTGGTTGATGTTGAAGCGAAGGAAAGGTGTGATTTTGCTTCGAAACTGCAGCAAAAAATTGGGCTTTGTTAGCTAGGGTTTCTGAAATCAGGCTTTTTCTTGGCTAGGATCGTGTTATATGCTGTAGATCTTTATTCTTCTTTCTCTTCTCTTCTTCTTTCCTTTGGCTTTTCTGTGGGGTTTGCAGTGGATACTTGCACCACTGCGTTGCAAAAAGGAATGACTTCCAAAGTGACATACTGCTCGATGTATCTGCTTATTTTAGTTTCTTTTGATTCTTTGTTCTACGTATTGCATGACCCAATAATCTGATACTTTGCAGACTCAAAAAGAACTTCTTCTCGTCGGAATCTTTTTTTTTCTTTTGGAAGTTAGGACAAGTAAGTTTCTTGTGTGAATATGGATGAAGACCCCTATTTCCTGTTGGGCTTTTGCAACACATTTTTATCTCACCTGCAGGTGTTGTTGCCTATGTTTTGATTGTCCTATTCTTTCTTCTTGGACAAGTTTTTCCTCCACTCAACCTTATTAAGCTTTTTGTATGATTTTGATGCTTGGTGGACTTTGAGTATGTCCAAGATCATGTATTCTTTCACTTAAAAGTTCTCTTCATCTTTTTGTAATGGTTGGTTCTTTCTAGGATTTGTTTTTCTTTTTTTCTTTTTTTTACTTTCTTTTTGTTGTCCAAAGGAAATCTTCTCAAAGTCTATCTAATTTGTCTTTGCTATCTATTTGATTCTGATGAAACTTTGGTGCTGTTGGGACTTATGTCTTTGAACATCTTGCAGTTGTCTATTCCTCCCACTGTAGAAATCTAAATAGGCTTTGAACTTCTTGCACTTAGTTGGTTGTTCTGGAACACGGGGACTACACACTTTATGACTCTGAAGAAGTGCCATTTTTAGTCATGATTGATTATTACCTGTTGGAATGTGATAACTGGTCTACTTTGTGTTGATGGGATCTCCTTGTATGATCAGTCATCCCTGCAAGTGGAACTTCTATATTTGAAATGGCCTGGAACTTCTATATTTGTATGGTCTTCTTCTTCTTCTTCTTCTTCTTCTTAACTGGCCTATTTTGTGCTGGAGGGATCTCCTTGTATGATCAGTCATCCCTGCAAGTGGAGCTTTTATATTTGTATGATCTTCTTGTTCTTCTTCTCCTTTGTATGATCAGTCATCCTTGTATTGATCAGTCATCCCTGCAAGTGGAACTTATATATTTGAAATGGTCTGGAACTTCTTCTTGTGTGTGTGTGTGTGTGTGTGTGTGTGTGTGTGAGAGAGAGAGAGAGAGAGAGAGAGAGAGAGTCCAAGCTGTCCTCTGAAGCCATTAAATTATAACAATATAGTATGTCATATAAGTTTTGGGATGTTTTATTGCTTTTCATGGATGACATTGGGAAACTCCTATGTTTCATATTCATTTCCTTTCATTATATGTTTTTCCTTTCATTACAAATTCTTAGTACTTGGCTGCCTGCATCCACCACCAGGATTATTTCCAATTTATTCAACCCCTCTGTATGGTTGTTTAATATGATAGTGACATTACTTGTTTGAATTTTTTCGCTTATTTGGATAAAACTTTGAAATACTTTGTAGTTCATGCCATTTTAGGCTTGATGATTCATACTGCTTTCTCTAGTTGAAATTGCTTAAATACATATAGGTTTTTCTTGCAACATTCTTGTCTGGACTAATCCATTGAAACTTTAGCTTGGCGCATTCTTAACTTGTTTGGAATACTGGAATTAATTAGTTTGGACTTGTTGTCTGACAAAATGCATTTCGGTGTAAAACATCTGATAGTACTTTTGTTTTTCATTTTCAAGATTCTTGTGCATTTGTTAGTGTTTATACTAATATAAATATTAATGTTTTTTATTTTTGTTGAAGTTTTTCAAGACTGCTATGATCTTAATGTGCTTTCAGATGGTTACAGATTTGTCAGGGAGACCACGCCTTGCAGTTTGATAAGGGATTCAGAGACGATAGATACTCCGCGTTCTATGACCAGACCTACTAACTCATCTGCCACTAACCAAAGAAGGCACGCTCTCTGCCATAACATCCCTTCCTCACAGGACATTGAAGAGTTCTTTGCTAACACAGAGCAGCTCCAGCAGCAAAATTTTCAAGAACAGTATGCATTCCTTGATTCTCCTTGTTTGATTTAGTAGCCTCATTCTTTTTTATGTTTGTCTGTCAAATGCTGCATCTGATGGCTTCTATCGTTATTTGCTATAGTCTATCGTATTTGTTTTTATTGTCTTGATCATTTTATTAGGTACAACTTTGATTTCGTTAACGAGTGCCCGCTCCCTGGTCGGTATGAATGGGTGAAACCTGACATCTAGGTTGCAGATCATCATTTGGCCCTGCTTATTTTCCTGAAACTTCTCTGATGATATCTTTCAAATCAAAGCAGAGGCAATGGTGGTGTCGAGTTGCTGTTCTTTCTTCTGTTGTAAATCCAAATACCCGAAAGATAAGTTCCATCTTACGGTATGTATCATATGGTGCTGATGAACTATACCTAGAAATGAAGTGCAAAGTCAGTAGACTATTATTGTAAAAGGCTTTTACAGCGACAAACAAGTCATATCTTTACAATTTCCTTCATGTTAGAAACAGTTACACCCTTCGGATGAACCCGAAAAACCTTATGATGAAATGAAAATGATCCTAAAGTCGTCGTTCTTTATCTTCGAGAGGCATCTCCATCATACAACATCTTTTCTTGTTGCTACTTAGATGAATGGCATTTCAGGTTGATTATAATTCTCAATGTGGTGCTTGCTCTTATAACTCGGGAGATGATTGTGTCCTGTATAAGATATTGTACTCCGGTTTATGGATATGTAGATTCCAAGAGCATCCATTGGGACTGTGTTAAAGGAAAAGGTTTGAAAGGTGGAGCGACAAAAGCCGATGGGTCTTTGGAATTTTTTTTGCTCCGAGAGTATTTTGTTGGACTTCGTTTTCAGACCGATCGATGTTCGATTCTTGAAGTATACTACTGTTTCATTTGAGATGCTCTTTTTTCTCTCTTTTTCAAGTAATCCATCTGAGCAGTTCTCATATGTTTCTTTCAGCAGATATTTCCAAAGGAATATATATCAGATTCAATTTCTTGATTTGAAGTCAGGCATAGACTGTGAGACCCCCAAAATTGATCTATTCTCTCACATGTGGTGGCTTAATACTTCAGTCAAATATTACAATATGTTGGAACTTTGTTCCTTCTTCTGAAGCAGAGCATTTCATCTTTCACAGTTTCCATCTTCAGAAGCCTTCTTCTCCCATTGCAGCAAAATTTGCAAGGCAATTTTAGACACTGATATCAATCATGAGATAGTCACCTTAAAACTGGATTCCATCCTCATATCAAGTCCTTCCATTTGATATTAGCACTCTCATCACTGATACTAATCAATTAACCATGCATCTGTAACTTCTATATCATCAGTTATCCATTTGCTAATTATCTTTAAGAACAACTTTTAATCTCCATTAAGTGAATTTGATACCTCATTGGACTATTTTAAAAATTCTAAAAATTATTGAATATAATTTTGAATTCTTTACATGGATCATAGTAATATATTTAATCAATATTTAGATAGAAAAAATTATCAAATCAGATGGACTTCAGACTCTTAATCAGAATTGACTTCACAAATTGAATTGAGCAGATCAATACATCATAACCAGAATCAACCTATTTATATATTTATATTTATATAAATTAAAGCTTATGTTTACACTATACATATATGGATAATTTTTCTCGGTTGAGATATTTTAGTTACTTTATGTATTA